AGGAGAGCCATTGTCTCCTAGTGATATCGACTTACAAAGCTCTTCAGCATATACTTTATAAATTAAACCCTCAGAAACGATGTCGTCAAAACCCACTTTGTTTTCATATCTTAAATAAAAAATGTAAACATTTGCCACAATAAAATCAAAAATATGTATTAAGCAAAAAGCTTCAACGTTAATAAAGCAACGAAGAAAAAAAAGATAATCTGCCTAAATTTTTAAGTCGGATTTATGAAATAAGACAGGATGACAATTCATGCCAAACACGTCAGTTCATGTGAATCATAATTTTAAGCCCATAAAAATCACTGAAATATTTCTGAAAAACGCTACAAGTTAGTTACTTATGCTGATTGAGATGAAAGACTGCTATCCAAGCATGTATTCTCAATAAGAACGAGGTAAAAACCCCAACATAGAGACCCATTCTTCCCAGTAGTGCATAGGATACGAGTGATCATAAAGAATAGACCAATAACTAAATAAATATATTGAAATTAATTACATAAATTTCTGTTCCTCTTCTGGATCAATATGCAAGAAGTTGATAAGATAAGCGTAAATGTTGTGTATTAGGTATAGTTACATTCAAATAACTAGTCAAAATTCAAAATAAACTTCATTTAGCGGAAAAATCAAACGATCAAAATTTTACGCCTAAAGGAGTGGATCAAAATTATTGAAGAATTAATGCGAATAAGCAACCTTGAGTTAGCGATGGGAAGATAAGAACTGAAATAGTGATATACCGATTTAGGTTTTAATAAATATATAAGCTATGACAGACTCATTTGTGCAGTCAGATTTTGATTTTTAAGAAGCAAAACTTACAAGCTTATAGTCTTGGAGGTGGAAGATGTGTGAAAAAACTTCTCCGTCTTGTTTTTCGGCCACCCAGTGAGATGCATTGCTTCGCGAGGTTACGGAATAACCGCCAAGAAATAAGCTGCTATATATATTAATGCATAAAGATTGCCATTTAGAGCACATTTAATTGATGTCTATAATTAAATAAATTTTATTTAGCTGGCATTATAAAAAAGGGGCTTACTGAGTCCCCATATATTTTCACGATGTCCGAGGTGTGGCTGCTCATGTACGATGTTTCTGCTGGTCTCGCGAGCATTGTGTCGAAATATTTATTAGGTACCTGATGCCTTTTTTAATGCTTTAGGAAAGCAATTTGATGGGATTTGGCACACCTCCGTCCTTGTTTACAATGCAGAAATATATTTCGGAAATGCTGGCATTAACTTTTCTAGACCGGTAACTTCTGTATCTTTACTTGATACATTAGGGAAAAACGTTGTTTGGAAAGCCTGTTAGACGCGAATTGATGGGCATAGCTAATATGACTAAGGATGAATTAACAAAATATCTCCGCATGCTTTCTCGAGATTTCTTCAGGTAATTTTACCTTATTAATTTTAAGATATGACAATTATGATTTGACCAAAATGAATTGTAATGACTTCAGCAATCATCTTATCAGGAACTTGACTGGGCTAACAATCCCCAAGGCGATTCTTGACCTTCCTAGAGAAATTTTAGCTAGCCCTTTGGCATCCATATTGAGGCCATTCATTAATAAATTGTCCGGAGTAATCTCTTCTAGTGGTAGTCAACCATACTGCTCTTCCTCTTTAGCTGGTCAAGCTCCCTCTAATTCCATATGTTTCTTGCCAGGTAAGTAATTCGTCTTTCCTACGCCTCAGAAAATGATAGTCATTCGTTTGCCTCTTCCAAAAGGTTCATTTATCCTGCCATATTTTCGGTGAGTTCATTGAATCCATTAAAAACCCTTAGCACTTTTTATATTGGCTTGATCTCATTCATGAGGAGTTTGTCTCGATTTACCCTTAAATCTTGTGAAAAACAATTTCATTTACGTATCGTATAGAAGTGTATCGACCTCGTCGCAACCTGGTTTTGTTGTAAGGGCGACCGTAGAACGCACATAGTCCGAAGTCATCTGCCATAGTAGTTTTCATGACTCCCAGTATCTGACAATAGACTTGATACATTCTCAAACGTTTCGTCGGCATCATCAGTGAGCTTTGCCATTCTTCGCACCAAGCTACGAACTCGTCAGAGACAAGTCGAGTTGACGAGTTCGTAGCTTGGTGCGGAGAATGGCAAAGCTCACTGATGATGCCGGCGAAACGTTTGAGAATGTATCAAGTCTATTGTCAGATGCTGGCAGTCATGAAAACTACTATGGCAGACGACTTAGGACTAGGTGCGTTCTACATAGTCTCCCTGACATCAAAACCAAGTTGCGACGAGGTCAACCCACTTCTATAAATCGAAAGGAGACTGCGACTATAACAGAGGCCACAATATCTTGGTTTTCATATACGTATGGCATCTTGCAATCTCACACGACCCCCTCTTCTGTTTAAATAGGACTCCTTGCGTGATGACTTTTTGCCCCATCGCATCTCCTCGCTTTTGCCAATTCAACCAGAGAATGATTTATCTGAGGTTATTAATATCCGGATAATGCAGCTGGTCTCTTTTGCATCAAACTGTGGGGGTTCGATTAACGATTTAACCCTTAATAAAGACCATTTTTCTCTTCTAGGTTCGTAACTTTTCCTATTTTATTATATATAAATGTAAGACTTATTTGGGCTGCTTTGACTTAGTTTTAGCATTTCCTATTAGGGACTTCGCATTATCATAATCTGAACTTGTAATAGGTTACCCAAACATACATTTAGTTGATTTCTCCTTTTTTTATATAGCCCGTATTTCTCTTTCCAAGTTTTGGAGTTCTTGTTAAAAACCTTTTTTATGGTATAAATCCATATACACACTTAGTAATGGTGTATCGAACGTCTTAGGATGATCTGTTGCTTATATGAGCTAATAAACTCCCACGACTATATCGTCGCTTTTGCCACCTAATATCTTTCATTATTCTGAAACGGTTTTAATATTTATCGTAGAATTTTGTTTGCTCGCATCACGACATTTCCTTATACTAGCTCACTAAGCATAATTCAGATCTATAATGTTTCCATTTTGGCTTTTCTCATCCTCGAAATTTGGTTTTTATCTATATAGTTTTTCCGTAATTTTAGTTATCATTGTTTTGAAGCAAGTTCTCTCTTTGAATCGCAGTTTAGTTTAAACTTCAACTAGGTTCATATTCTGCTATTTCGATTTGTATCTTCATCGTAACTATCTGACCATAGTTCTTAAACTGTAAGCTGTAATATTTGAGTTTGATGAATATATCACCATAATCGATATTCTTTAAGTTAATTTTGGTACTTCAGACTGGTTGATGATTTTTAACATGCTTGATGGAACGGAATGCGAAGTATATTTTAGGCAAAATATCATCCAAAACACTTACAATCTTCATTGACTCGTTAGCCCACTCTTCCTTCAGATGTTCTGATGAATGTTCGTTCATTAGGCTTTACCCAGTTACCTATATGATTGGTTTCTCGTCCTTTATAAGCCTCTTTACGATTTCATCCTTTCTCTAGGCATTATGATTGCGATTGCGCGTCCTAATAAGGCCTTATCACTGAGGATTGCAAACTCTTCCCTTAGGTATCCACTTCAATCCTTGTAATTTTTTCACTATAGGATCCAATATTGCACGAGCCTTTCTGCCTTGTTCACTTCCTTTCCTGCACATTTTTGTGGGAGAAACATTTATTGCTTTACTGAGTTTTTCATTTTAGCAATCCAAATTATAGTTTTCATCGTCTAATATGCTTAATATACTAAAAAGCTGATATATTGCTTCAAAGCAGTAGTATTGTATTGCTTGGACTACATGCCTTAAGAGAAGTTGTTTTGCATTTGACGCATGAATAAGCTTTTAGTCATTTTCTGAGCATAAATTTAGTATTTGCCATTGACATTTACCAGCCGTAAAATAGTTATATCGATTCTTCCTTTCATACATTGACATAAAAGCTAGCTTGTGTACTCTTATATTCATTTCACATATCTCTACTAGATATATCTAACCATGTTTTACTCCTGGGGTCCGATTTATAGATTTGCATAACTTGGATTCAGCTTTTCAATGTGCTGTCGTCCTTGATGCGTTTCGCGTAAGCATGTCGCTTTCGCCAGAGCTCACTGACGCTCTGTGTAACACTGTCGATTCAGCTAAACTGATATATAATCTTGCAAATTCGAGTCCTTCCTATCTGGCGGCCAACAAAGCCCCAATCAATACCTCGGGCGTCAACGTGTGTCCTCTCGATGTAGATACTCTCAAAGCCATGCTTGTACGTTAACCCTCGCCCCCGTTTTTACATCTTTTTTTCTTTATCATTTATTAATGAACTTTCACCACTTATTCAAAGTTGAAACAGCATTCTATTCTTGATAAAGGCGCTCATGAGATGCATATCAGCCTGAAATTTTCATTAAACATCAATCTTTATCTTTACTAATTTATCTTCCCTTGTCTAAAACATGTTAGCAAACATTCTTGGTAGTTACAAGGGAATCGAATATTATATATGAAGTGTATTCATCCTATTTTGTTTAGGATGAAAGGGGACTGATAGTCTCGAAAAGCAACGAAAGGTAACGAAGTCGAATACCTTAATCCCTAAATCTGAATCCCATTCCTCCCTTCTTTTGAGTTAGACTTAATCCCTACTCGGTGTTAGGACTGGCGTTTCCACTTATCTGGCTATTTTAGAGGTTTTAATCCAATCTAGACTTTAATGTATAAACGATAGGCAAGAAATTAGATATGCGAAGAAAAGTTGGGTT